GACGTACTTAACTTAAGATATCTACTCTCTCAATTCATTTCGGGCATGGAAAGTCCAAGTCAACTCTACAGGAAGAGCAGACGCTCTTGGGTGGGCAGAGCTTCGCATAACTATTATCCCCTTATATGTATGTACACTTGGCTGCATGTACTATTGGGGGACATGAATGGGTGGACGTGGGTGCCAAAATGGGCTGTACCCGGGCCCGGCCTCATCTTGCCTCAGAATACTTGTGACACACCTGGATCCACCCGTGGCATTTTAGTTTCCTGAGTAAGCCGTCGTCTTATCGGGGCACAAATCCCACGGATCACTATCAGGTAATATTTGAAGGTTTTAGGGACGCTCAAATTCAAGAATCGAAGAAACACTCAAGCGGGGTATTTGTATGAAGAGACGTAGCTCTTGTAGGTTATAGTGTATTACGTCACATCCCCCAGGTTTATCCAGTGTATATATTAGGTCCTGATTGGACATTGGTCCTCGTTGGTCGTTGATCCTCGTTTGATCTCTTCCTCGGCCTTGGAGCTAGACCTGTCTTGAGCTCCTTATCGAGAGAATTTGAGAATGGCTAGAGTGGTACTGGAGAGACTCCTCCAACTGTGAAACAGAGCTCTACTGTGTCAAATAGATTGTCCGTATAGAGCACCGGTCCACCATTGCGGTACGATAAGGATAGTACATCAAGTTGGGAAACGACACGTGTAGTTGGGCCAGAAATCCGACTTGAATCCCAGTAGGTAGAAGACATGTCACTAATACCCTTAACTTTGGAATGAAACCGCCAATTCATGTTATACCCATGATTGCAGATTGCAAACACTTTATATCCCACAGTGATTGACTTATTAGACATACAGACGGTATTCTTACCTCTTCCGCCGAACTGTATCCTAATTTCGCCTACTGTTAGAGATTTTGATGGAAGGTCGTAACTCTTGCAACTGTAACGCATTTTGATGCTCAACGGCTCAAGTTTCTCCCACTATTTCTCTACTTCAATTCCAGGTGGAGATACATGGAAGTACCGCTTAGTTTGGGGGGGGGGGGGGGGCGATTGTTTGACATCACCTTAGAATCGGTCTCCCAAACTTAGGACATACAATCTAATACCTGAGGCTTTTCTCTGGAGGTCGCCTGGTGACATGTATCGATTGACACCCATGGCGATCAGAAGACCCCAAAACACACCTATCTCCTCATTTGTAGCAGGCTTCCATTTCCTACGAATACCCAAAGTAGCAGAGAACTGCTGCTCTACTTCCCCTATTTTCTGGGCGGCATAGGCATTAGTATTTTAAGCCAGGGATTCATGTACAGCGGCAGGTATCAAGTGCTGGAACAGGGCAATACCTGTTCTCGTAAAACGCCACCAAAATTTGGTGTTTGTACTCTCAGGGTGTTCCATCACTTATTACATGTCGCTGTACATCTGGTGACCAAAAGAGTTCAAAGATATCCAAAGGGTGAGAGATCCGCATTCTATTTTAAATTGGAACTTTCACTGAGTATTGGATATAGAAATATTACCGCTGGTTTATTAATAATGCCTCAGCCTCATGATGATTCCAATATATTGGCTTATCAGGACTCTCTGAATCGGCGTTGTCAATCTCCTCCACGGTAGCGGAAATCACCTGCCTAGCCATAGGCGTATCCTAAACCTCTTCATTCCTGAACCCTTGACTATGTTCTCGGCGGCCACCCCTCTCTCGGCGGCGACCCCTTCTCGTCCGCACCGAAGGTTGTTGCAATTCACCCAACGAGTTCGGACTGGTCGGCGGCATTCTCACCGACTTCACTGCTTTCACTGACTTCACTTTCACTGACTTCGCTGATTTCACGGCTTTCACTGGCTTCAATGTGCGATAGACTGGATTAAGGTACGGCTTTCACTTCACTGCCTTCAGGTTTTGAGCTGAGGTCGAACTGAGACACCTCCTGAGACAGCTTGGCTCTCAGAACGGACCAGGGCGCAACTTTGACAAATTACATCCTACCATGGGATACAATCACTCACGGGTTGAAGGCGGATCCTGTCTGATGGCGGTCAGGGATTTGAGGCCAATAAAAGAGTTAGGTTTTGGACGCCAAGGGCAAATTACTACAAACAGAACCATCAGACAGGATCCGCCGTTAGTATGTGAGCGACTGTGCTTGAAAAGATTAAATGTCGCCATAACCCGATGATTACATGTTACTTATATGTAGTCAAGCAGGTTGGTGATTAATCGCGCGACTTAGTTCCACAAGTCAGCGCCGCAGCGAGACTCCTCATTAATTGAGTACTCTATGTTTCTACCAACTAAACTCAACTAATTAGTATTTGTCGGGTGAGGGGGGTGATTGAGTCAGTATCTATTGTAGGAAAAGACAATGAATAAAGCTATGACTATGCTAGTCATTAATCGAGCCGCTATATTATATAGCAAGCTGGACCAACGATTATACTTTCTTTTCACGACCGGGCGCTAATGGGCAGCTTTTACTCGGTAGTACACCTAAGCATCATACAATGAACCTCACTGTAAAGTCAACTTCTGTGACCCCTCCTATCCTTTTTCATGTGTCTCCGCAGTCTGTAGCTAGATTTTTTGAATATCACCGCACCATCGCGGGCCTAATCGGTTTCCGATTGTGCTCTGACAAACGAAGAGATATACCGAAGAATTCGGTAATTGATAACTGTATACTCAGTAATCCGAAGACCCGAAGGAAATTACTTTTTTTCTTTCCTAGCCCACTTTGATAGATACTACAGTCATTACTTGTTCCACTCGATCTATCTAGCCAACAACAGCCGCGTGGTATCCCTTCCGGGGCTTTGAGTGTGTCAGAGGCGCTGGGGTTGGCGTGTAGAATCAGCTGGTAAAGATCACACCACATCTATGTTGTCAGTCAGGACTTCAAAATCAACCGCAGACGCCACAAAAAAAACACTCTGATCTCGCCGACTCTGAATTCAGAATCACATAGGTGATATATCCATTACAGTTAATGGCTCACATGAAGGGTAATTGCAATAATCAGGGCAGAGCGCATAACGGTAGTACAAGTGGCGGTCGCTTATGGAGGCGACAATCTTCATAGCAAAGGACCTACAATACACTAACTGAGTGATAATGAGGTTCTGGTAAGGTATTATACAGAGGATAATAACTAGTTTCTCTGATTTTGGTTTTATGAGAACTCCAATTGTGGGCTACCCGGTTGATGCCGTCTCAATAGGCGATCACCGCTTAAGATGTATAAAAAACCTTTATTCCTTGAGCTGTCCATGCTGAACCCCTATAACAGAGGAATTAAGTTTGTATGAGTAGTGTGGTCGATGAGCCGGCTCAAGTCGAGCCATAGCTCGAGCCAACTCGACTCGTAGAAGGTTAGGCTCGTGCTCGTGGGAAAAATCTCAAGCTCTCAAGCTTATCTCAAGCTAAATGATGAATGTATTTGTGAAAAATAGTTCCCATTTCTGCTCGATTATAGGTATTCCTGCACATATTAAAAACTCTACCCAAGACTGGACAAAAATAAATAATAAAATATCTACCCAAAAGCTTCCCCACTGGGTCCGAATATCTAACAATAGAAACATACAAATAGCTCAAGCTATCTCAAGTCGAGCCATCAATAGGGCTCGAGCCAACTCGACTCGTGGTCAACCTGGGCTCGTAGAGCTCGAGAGAAAAGCTCAAGGCGAGGACTTGAGATAGCTCGACTCGTCGACCACACTATGTATGAGAGATCTATTATTTGATAAGAGAGATAATGGGATCTGTTAATAAAGCCACACCGAATTTGCTTTTTTTTTGGGGGGGGGGGGGGTCAGCATTTTCACGACAGCTTAAAGGATAACCCGATACCAACCGAAAAGGTTCGCAATACTGCAGCCTTATCTATCACCCACTGTAGAAACCCCGATTAGGATCTTACAATTTTCCAACATCTAATTTAGTCCAGATAAATTCCATTACCCTGTTTTCTGCTCCTTCGAGGATCCTTTTCGGTTGCTGTGGTAGCCATATTTTATGCTTTGGGTTTAGTTGCTACCTGGGTGATTAACCATGTTTCCATGGTTTGCGACCCAATCATAGTAGGGGAAGTAATCAAAGAACCAGTACACTCGTTCACAGGGTGAGGACGAACACTGGGTGTAGACGAACAAGGATTTTTGGACAAATAGAAAGATCACTTGGGCAGCTTGGCTGTTTCTTGTTATATGAGAACCCTAGTTCGTCTTCACCCAGTGTTCGTCCTCACCCTGTGAACGACTGTAACCCACGTGAAGATAAAAAGAGAGTCAAACAACTACTTATTTACGAAAAGAACCAAGTGACGGAAACAGGGATAGCTTGTATGAGAGATCACCGCCACTCGATATAAATTATCTTTGCCCTGAGCAACTGCATTTTCTGATTCCTTTCGTGTTAAAGCTGCTGTAATATACCAATAACGGTGATACAACTCCCCTCATGAATAAACGGAAACTGGTAGAATGAGAAAGTTCTTCAGATCGCCGTTTGAAATCGGTAAACTTAACGAAAACCACTGGCTGCAATTAGAAGCAGAAGCAGAAACTCATTCCCTTCAAAAGGTTCGTTACTGGTGTGGGCTGGAGACTCTTCGGGTCGCGTGCTAGATAATCACTAGTTTTCATGTTGAAATAGTATATGTCATGGGAACCTCCGGTCACACAAATTTCATCAGAACACTTCGGAACATCCGATGTTTCAAGAAGGTCGTTCCTGTCTCATCTATGATAGGCTGCACTTTGGTGCCACAAAAAACGGGGGGTGATAATCGTATGTTCTTGGTTTTTGAATCCAACTGGTTGGATGGCTTCACAAGCCACACTACACCGTCACTTGGGATCATCAAAGGTATTGCAAATATTAGGAGGAGAAGATATAACACGACATAGGTCACTACGGGTATGTAAAGACTTACTCTAGCTGTCAAAAATCTTCAATGAATATATCGATAACTACCAATTCGCGCCCACGATGGAGGAAATCTTATTCTTTATTCTCTTTCTAAGTACCATAGCCGCCCGGGAAACCAGTAAATTTCAGGAGATCCTCTCCATCCACATCTCCGAAACTCCAAGATGCCCAGATTTTTGGGAGCCTGACAGTGATTTTCAGGCATGCTGCTACTGGTGGGATACGATGACAACGGCTTTCGGACCAAGTTCTGTCCCATCGCTGGCTTGTTGCGGTTCTGAGGCCGCATGTACCGGGCCAGCTTCAATAATGTATGACTGGTCCACCGGTCCTGGTAAGTATCCATGGCTCTCTGTTTATATTAGGGGGTTGCTGCTAATACCGCTATCAATATATATAGCTGGATTTGAAACAATAACACCGTCCTCCACACGTACTGTACAGTTCTGTTCTTGTCCTGATATATTACATGAGCCTCAAGCTGACTGTTACATATGTACCAGCAACAAAAACGGCCGCAGCCCCAGGCGCTAGAGTTACTAGCAATAACGCAGCTACTGGTGTCGCCACAGAATATACTAGTCACGGATCCACTGCCAACCTGCCAGGTGCTACTAGTACAACGTCTGTGACTGGTCCGGGCGACGGTCCATCCAGTCGTACGATTGCTATTATTGCATCAGTATGTACTGTTGTCGGGACGGCTGCTGCTGTTGCGACAGCATGGTATGCCCGGAAAGGTTTGAAGGAAAAGTTCAAATCAGTTGGCCGGGGAGCACAGAGAGCATTTGCTTTTAATAATGTTTAGCTTGCGGTCAAGTTGAATCAAGTTCTACGGCAGTTATGGAATGTCGGTTAGTGGGGAGTACACAGCTTGTTGTATGTCTTGGATTTATGGGAAATGCTGCTTGCGGGAATTTTTCTAGTCAGATGTGGCAGGGTTAATACGAGATGCCCTATTTTCTTTAGATGACTAGCATGAATGTGACTACCGGTATATGGAAATATGGGAGTTTAGTGATTGATGGGTAATTATTTGTATTTATGGAGCAAGAAAGCGTATCTTTTGCCTACGTAACCTTTGTCTTTTCTTATCTTGCTTTCTTTTTTTTTGGTTACATTTATATTCGCGTTTCGGGGTTTACTAGTTATGCCGACGCACGATTAATTGTATCCCCCAATGAATCCCTCAGAGTCACCGTTCTTGTCAAAGAGTAGTACTATATATCACCTAGACAAATATATGTGGATACTTCTGAGGAGGTGGCGATTGAGAACGCTCAGCAACTGGGTAACACTTTGATTCATGATGCAAAACGATAATCACTTTAGAGTTCCCGTTGCGCCAGGCGTTCATCCCGAGCCTCATTTTGCTGAAGCAACGCTTTTGAACGTCGCCGAAAGTGAAGTGGCATGTGGACGTCATAAATTGATCATGGGAGATTGTTGTGGAAAGCTAGAGGGTGCATTTCATACAGCCAATCAGCAAAAGTCTTTGTGATTTATTAATGTCAGTGCGCGGTGTGGCGGACCCGAATGTTGATGCTATGAGATTCGAGGGGAACGAACAATATATGATTCGTGATAAAATAAAAGAAGGTAGGTAACTTGATCTTATTCTTCATTGATTCCGGGCACTATTGATCATTGAGAAGTTGTCTCTCGGGATTGTTTAATGGGTCCGCCATGGTTACATATAGAGAAATTTCACTCCGAAATATTGGGAATCACGAACCATTTTGCAGAGTGGCTGTACCTAAGGGTGGGTTGGGGGGTGTTTGACGCAGCACACCTATCGTTTGGTGGTAACTTATCACTTACTCCCGGAAGTGCTCTAGTCTATAGGTACTCTAGATAATCTTACAGTAAGAGGTTATATTACTACCGCTACTGTTATTAACGTCTAGATATGGTAGTGTCGATACTCGCAATGGCTCACCTGGAGGACAGAGAGGAGCCAATCTTGATAACGGATGTTTAGGCCCCGAAGCTCACGTGTCAGTGTCACCTCCTGCCCACGTAGGTTTAAAACGCGAGTTCCCCTATAATATAAACATTATTACAATGTTTCAGTTGTACTTCGATATCTGGGATAAGTGAGAAGACACCACGATGCCAAGATTGCGTGAAGGGTGTCTTCTCACTTACCCCTACCCCCGAAGTACATAGTCTTGTAGGTTTAATTCATTGTGGACCCTCTAGATCTATTGTTCAGCAATGATTTCTATAGCTATCGCCGCCACCCGCTCCCCGCCTCCCCCGCCTCCCCCGCCTCCCCCGCCACAGCAACACCACCCACCACCCACCACCCACCACTCACAATCTGCTGCTCCACCCCGCCCCAGGGCCCGCCGTCACATTGCTCACCTTATGCACTTGAAATGCCGGCAGCCACATGCTAAATGCCTTGTTCCACAGATCAAACGCCGGTTTCCCAGATAGATTCCACCCCCCGCCAAGGTCCGGACAATGCGCCCCGCCCTCAACCACCATCGCAAATATACTACCCTTCAACACCTCTCCCGCCAACGGCACCTCCTCCGTCCTCATCCGGCCATGACCCTCAGGGACCTGGCTGTTGACCGTCGCGGGGCGCCATGGGTCGTACTGCCCGTCGACAAAGAATGTATTGCTGCTCTGCATGGCCCAGCCGCCATACCGCTCGTTGTTGTCGCTCCCTGGCATGGCGGTGAGGTTGAAGGGCTCCTTGCACCGGAGGTCGTGGAGGGCCTCGAGGCTGGTGAACCTGTGCGGGTACAGCCCGCCGCCGGTCTCGGGGACGGTGACAGTGTTGGCAAAGTCGGTGCACACCTGGTAGTTCCAGCTGACGAAGTTACTGTTCAGGAACTGGATGCACTCCTCGCATTCTCCGCACAGGTGACATCCCCCTGATCCTTCTCCCCGCCGGTCGAGTTCGTGATCTGGCGCTTGAACAGGCCCCGCTTTGAGAAGGTAGAGCCGGCCGCAAGAAGCCGGCGCTCTAACACTTGGCCGGCGGCCGAAACATACGCTGCGATTGCCTCCTTCTCCGATAGTGCGCTGAACACACCCCCCTCTGCGCCATCGGAACTCAGCTGCGCCATCAGTCCACAGAAGTACGCCAGATCACCCCGCGCGCCGGTGCCGTTCTGGAACGCATAGTTCTGATACTCGGTCAGCGGCGTGCCCAGCGCCGTGGTCATATAGACATTCAGATTGTCGCTGAGACTCGCCGGATCAAACAACGCTGCCGCCGCCTCACTCGTATTGCCTAGGGCCATCAGCCAATCGATGATCGCCGCGTCGTCGGCGCTCTCGACCCACGCCGCCATCGCCACCATGTCATCCGCACATGCTCCATACCCGCGCTCTCTCGGCCCGTTCAGTGTCGCTTGATAATAATATTGGTTCTCTGGCGCTTCGTGTACGGCCGCGCTGCTGGCGAGCGCTGCGTACCAGATGTCCGGGTTGCGCTTCCGCGCCCACGCCGCCCTCGCACCTGGGTAGCTCCCGCCCACAAACACCCATGGGACAAGCCCGGGCGAGACGGTGGCGCTCCCCCATGTGAAGGTACGTGCAAACATGGCAACATCCTCCAGCGCCTGCTCGATGGTGTGGAACTTGTAGTAGGCGTTGAGGTCGTCGGGGAGGACGGTGGCCGGGAGTGCGGGGAGGGAGCGGCCATAGTAGCGGTGCTCCCAGAGTATGAGGAGGCCGGAGTTGGCGCGTGCTTGTGCAGTTTGGTGAGATACATTGAGGTAGGGGAGGTTGGTTTCAGCATTAACTTCACCAATGTCAAATACTAAAATATCCGTAAATATCTGTCATGAGTGGCCAGCATAGCTAACGGTAGACAGGCAACCCCCCCCCCCCCCCCCGCGGCGAACCCAGGATAGAAAAGCTGGGAGACATACGCATAATCGGCCCGCCCTCAACCCAGTAACTGTCATCAACCCAATACCTATTCTCGAATGTCTCCGTCGTTGTGCCGTTATGATCCACTGGCAACGTGACGGTAAACATGGTGATATCATCATTGCTCACCGTCGAGTTGTCCGTAACGTTTGTCTGAGTGTGTTGCGGCTTTCGGAACTGCCATCGTACTTGTGCTCGCACTGTGAGTGCCAGGAAGAGAAGAGGAAAGAGGTACTTGCCGTGTGTGATGTGGTGGTAGAGCGGTGAAGTGGCCATCATGTTGGTGGGGGGAGGGCGAGTATTTATCGTATTTCCATTGCGAGATTGATATTGACCATGCTGGATAATTTATCGGGAATGCGCACACTCTCTGACCCACGTTGATCTACAACCAAGCTTCCAGCCCTATATTGCACTAGGGCAAAGAACAAAGCTGTCAACATATCCGAGCTTACTGTGCCGAAGGTAATCACACTTACATGTCCACGCGTAGCCTGAGACAGAGATATCTCTATACCCGTTGCCAAGGGCCCGGGTAAAGCGATCCAGATCTCTATCTATCGGCGCAGGTGTTTGTTTCAGCCCGGGACAAGATCTAAATCCTGACTGGATTAGTTGTTACTATTCGCCGAGGGCTACAACGTGGCATGCTGAATCTTGCACCTAGAAAGTGCAAGCGGCTGGGAGGTATTTGACTTTATGTATCAGCACTGCCCGAGTGGAATATTTCGAGACAAGTTCAGCCTCAAGCGGGAGGAGTCTTGCCACTGCTTTGTTGGTAAAGTACCTTAGGGTGCACTGCCTACGATCACAATCTATTCGAGGAATACGTCTTGTAAGCCAAATGATCACTAACAATTGAGTTCTACTAATCAGAGCATTCCCAGAAACTACAAGCACACAGGTCAATTGAATCATCATTCGATTAAGACTCATTAACTCCTGTGGGCGACCAGTAGGTGCCAAGCCCCTGATGGTTTGCGTGAAATCCTGCTAATTGATCATTGGCCCTATGCCCAAACGCCTTGCCAAAGCCCCTGCTACTAGTAAGGTTAGCCGCCTTCCAAGACTAGCGGCACGTCCAGTTGGGCTTAAGCAGGCACTCCCGTCTAATTATATTAGTGCAGTGTATCTCATCAACTAGATTGCTGAGCGAAAAACCCCCATTAGTCGCAAGAGTGGGTTGAGGCTCCCTGTGGAGTATCATGCCTAAGCGCTTGGCAGTGCCTCGATTTATATCATCGCGGTGGAGGGTGGATTTCAATTGATGGCATGTGATATTAGAAGTCCGGGCATGAAAATTAATTAGTTGAACATTCGGCATCGGAGCTCACGCAAAAGGTTCAACTTTCCGGCAAGAGGGAGAGCCAGCTACATCAAGACGCCATCCAAGGCATGCCGTATACTTTGCTCAGCGATGTTGAGGGGATCCTCAGCTTGGGATCTCCAAACTTTCCCAATTGTCAGATTATTTGTCAAAAACGATTTCTGCCCGGCCGAGGATTGCAACTTGAATACCGATATCGCGGCATGTTCTACGATTCAATGTTTGGTATCCGTGTGTGTTGATAACACCGAGGATGAGTTTATCCGTAAGCAAGCGGAATTCAGGGCGACTCCTCTGGTACATTGTGCTTTCGCACTTTTGAGGGAGTGTGCATGGGAATAGCGCAATTCGTACAGCTGAGAAGGGCTGATAATGTTGTCGGCTGGGTATAGAGCCCCAAAATAGGGACGTGCCCAACTAGAACACTCCCCATAAGCGGTGGGGCGTTCCCTACTACCTCACGTGGAGTGTATCGGTTGACATAAACTCCCCATGTTCCTAAGAGTGGTCTACTTGATAGAAATCTTTCTATTCGCTGTCTCTGTTTGAATATGTATCAGTAGTGCAGGATATATTTTGCTAGCGTGACGCGGCCCAAGGAGTCACCTCACGATACCAAATTTGTATTAGAAAGTGGGTATGGGACACTATATTCATAACAGTCTATAGTGATGCTGACTAATAGCAGGAATGTGATCTTTGAAGGTCATCCACTTCTTAGAATCTTGTGCTAGAGCAGTACGGTATCTTTTTGACAGAGTTGGGCGAATTCTAGTCTACTGACTCAAACCTGTGCAATTGATAGATAACACCATGGTTTGACGCACCCCGAGTCTTGGTACTATTTTGGAAGACATTCAATGCACCTATGTTGATATTGATGAATGACGCAAGTATTTTGCGAGGGCGGAATGAGTGCGAAATGCGTGTAATCTGAAAATAGCCGCTTTCTAATCAGTTCATTGTTCTATGTTCTTACCACACATGTGCATTGTTATGCACTGCAAAAAAGCTTATTTGCACTTTGGTATCTGAGACTGCCGTGCCTTATATACCCGAGCCACTCTCCGTCGTAAAGGCACAACACATATAAATAGAAACCTAAATATATGTAGAGTATATGTAAAATCACCAAGTTCGCCACCCAACTCCTCCTCCGTTGAACAAGCTTTTTTTTTTGCTAAACGTTACTCAGCCTCGTAGCTGATCCCTTGGACGGATGAAACTCTCAAATTCGTAGCTTAGTCCGTGCACGCACTTAGTCAGGTAACCTTGCTTTTTGTGTGCGGTAATAGTTATATAGCCAACCAAAAATCAGCAGGAGTTACTAGCTATAGATAGGGCTAGTATTAGCTGAAAGAGGGAAGCTACGAATTTGAGAGTTTCATATCCGTCCAAGGGATATTGAAAGCCGTAGAGGAGCCTATTGACCATCGTGGTGTGTATTAGGACTATCGGGGTCATGGAAGGGCCGGCGGATCGGATCGGGCGAATTGAGAATTAATTACTGCATGCAACTGTAGGGCGGAGGATCGAGTCAGTCTTTATGTATATGTATTTGTCTCGAGTAGTCATGTACTTACTATCAATCAATTCAATCACCTCCTGATATGTTCAGTAGCTACATCTACCTACCCTGTAAATATCGTGTCCAGTCGCTTGAAATCTCACCGTAAATGCCATCGCTCCATCTGGAAGAGGGTTTGTTGCTGTCAGCCACCAAAGATCCACTTATTTACTATCTCCGTCCACATTTTCATTCTCTACGGGCAGATCCGCTGCATTTTAGCCCCAGCGATATGATGATCCGGGTATGGCTATGTATGACTTTGCGATCTGGATATAGCTAGGTATGTACTCTAAACAGGCTGGTAGATATAAACAGTTCAGGATCAACGCAAACTCGACGTTTTGCTCCTGACTATTAATTGTAGATCACATGAGATGCGGTTATCTGCACGCCAAGTCCCCAGCGATGATAACCAGTGCAGCCCACTGTGCACTGCACGCAATCACGATACCGCCAAAACTCGAAAAATTGGCTATCTCCGGCCAGGGATTATCACTCGAGTGATTGGTTGAATAGTATTGATCTGCATCAGAAGTTTCCCATACAAGTAATTTTGATCTCTGGAAGCTAGCCAATTTTTCGAGTTATGGCGGTATTTAAAAATGGTTATGGTATGATCCTAGAAATAAGAAGGTCGCTTTGAATCCTGATCATTTAGAGGGTCATGAATTCGGCGTCAACTGTGTTCAATTCTTTGTTATGATATCTAACTTTGTGGAAGCACCCGGTAGATACTGATACATTGCCGCGTCCTGGCAACCCACGGTGAGGTTGGGGTGTGCCAATGTAACAGCATAACATGTCGTACCTAATTGCAAGCTCTTGAAATAGGGCGCTCGGCATATTTCATAGTATTGGAGGATTCTCACTATTTCATTATTGTATTTGTCATCGGCGTATGACTAACTCATGACTCACTTTCCTATTAGTCATTCTATCACTCATACGTCTATGACTCATTGTATTTCTTTTGTACTACCTTTATTTAGTATAAATACGGGGCATTCCCCCTTAGCTAGGGCAATCAACACGATCAATCACTTTACTTCTCCTACATACTTTCTCTACAATCTAGCAGAAATAAGACAGAGAAGGCGTGTTCTGTTGCCAATGTTCCTGCAACCTTCCAGGGTTTCCCGAAACACAACGTCAACCTAGCTCCAAGAAAGAGCCTGAATAGATGAATTACAATATTCTATTCAACCTAGATCAGAGTGGAAGTGATTGAGGGCTATAAAAATGGTAGTAAACATATTGGTGACTCTGGTTGTGAATTTAGTGTGGGTCAATTATTATCATAATAAATTCACGGTTCATACGTACTCCTGCTCTACAAGAGCTCGAGGTCGGGCTCTCAATCTGCTGCGCGGCTTTTGAACCGTCCTTTCTCGCACTTGTAGCCTATTTTAGCCTCAGTTTCGCCATAACTCCTGCAAAGTAAACGCCTTCCTTTCGTTAATTTAGAAAGGCAATCGACAAAATTAAAAAGGTGAAAACAGTAAAATTCTTTATTTGATACAAGAAATATATATATATATGCTTTGTTAGGTCATATTCTTGATGTCAAGTCGCCTAGAAATCTCCCGAATTGGGAGCGGATAACTGCTTGAAAGTCGAGCCTATAGAGTACATTCAAGCTTGAGCTGCTCGCCACGATGATGACTCAAGGGTAACCAGGAAAATGCTGAGCGACTACGCCCGTTTAATCATGCAGCTATCCCTCATGTAATATAGATGATTCCTACAGCGTAGTTAGGTTAATTAGGTGAAGTTTCAAATGCATTCACATGAGGAAGAAAGGCCCGCAGAAGATAAAGAATGGTTTGGGGGAAAGTACCCCAGGCCCATTAGACATCCGGGAGGTGTATGTACACCAAGATAATACTCACGGGTTGGGGGGGGGGGGGGGGGTGGATCTTTCGAAGCCGGCGGTCGCCATGTCCTTGGGCTATTCCTCGGTGAGGGCCATCTATCCATGGACCCCTGGCAATATATGCCGATTTTCATATACACCATGGTACCTTGTATTGTAGGATTTGGTGAGTAATGGGTCTCATGAGCTATAAAACATTGATAGAGCACACTCTAGTTGAGATTCTACGGCATCAGAATGCTAGGACGCTCTTCACTCCATCCGCAACGGCTCGGAATAGTATCCCATTAATTCTAATAGTCCTCGAGTCAAGGATCGTTTATGTTTTCTCCCTTGGGCCAACCAAGGACTTTGTTGAACATCGATCTCTACTTCCTCTCACAACATATACACCCGCGGCCGGTACATACAGAAAATCTATCATGATTCCACCCACTCGAAATTCTATCCCTAGCAAGCTTCTAGCGTTCGGAGGGAACGGAAGTAGTGTTTCGCTAACAAACACCCCTCTCTAAATTCCATCCCTACGATACTTCCAGCAAAGTTGAGCCACGGTGGGGGTGGAATTATGGTAGCTAGGTTTTGCTGTATCTCCCAATTTTCAATTTTACACCAGAAGGAAAGCACCACTACTGTTTATATTCTTACACTCTTTCTTTCTCCATCTATTACACTAAATTAACTTGTATATCGGTTACATCCCGTCTTATTTCTTCTTTAGTCCTCCAGATATATTGTGCGACGGATCTTAAAGGTGAAATCAAATTCGATCGCTAATATCATGTAGGCCGCCATCGCATGACCTACACTTCTATCAGACAGAGTTTTGATATCTTGTCTTGTTAAAAATATTATTAGAGATTGAATATGTTTGCAATGAGACATCAGTTTGGCGGTACAAACCGGTACAAAACTAAATAATAATGAGACATTTAGTCCAGTTTGAGCTTCGGACGATCGTGGTTATACTGAGTCATGATACGCCCTAAACCGTTACAAACCAACCAACCAGTAAATGGAACGGAATATTGTTTTTCCGCCACTTGGCCCCTCCGGAACAACATTTTTCTGAAACACCTGCCAAAAACACTAACCCACATATTAGCTAGATAAATGGTATTGCCGGTTTAACCACGTTGGAAGAGGTGGTCAAATAGTTAGTACGATTTCGAGGTGATGGTGGCAAAGTTATTACAATATGGGGGCGTTTTAATACCGCTTTGTACCATTGCTAAGACATGGTGAAGTGGAGCAGTATTATATCCATTTGTGCTGCAGTTTTCGGCAAGGCTAACTATAGGCTACTCTACAGCGTAATTAAATGAACCAGTAAATGAATCATTTCGCCACCTCAAATTTTTGGTGGGAAATGAATCGTCTGAGTTGGGTGGTTGATGACATTGGGAAATGTCACGTTTTTACTATATGTTAACGAATCAGGAAATGAATCGCTTAGTTCAATATGCCCCTTTTTTCTTACACTTTTGCGTTTTTTCTTGGCGGGGCTAAACAATCACAGGAGATCAGTCAAGTCATTCGCAGTGCAATTCCATGAGCATTTAATATACACATTATCTGTGTGCAAATGTTCTATCTTCCTTTTGTACAATGTTTTATTATTACTTTTTTGTTGCATTTTACGACGTTACCTTTATGTTCTCTGTCTTGCCTTTCCCCTCGTGCCATTTACTTACCCATTATTTCCATAAGTCTTTTCCGTAGTGATTCCCGCTATCTTTTGTCTTGTCTTTTGTGTTCTTCTTTGTTAACATCAGGCTAATCCCTTTCTGTAGCACTTTACTTTGTCTTTTCCCGGAACTCTTATCGTGGTTCTGCCGTTGCTTTTCTGGAGTCATTTCTGTGCACATTAAATATTATAACCTTTTGCTCAACCATTTACTAGTATTTGATTCATTTATGCACATTTATCCAGCCACAATATCCTTTTCCATTCATAAATTCAGCGGCGCCTATTTGTCATAGGTTTAGCAATTAAAATGATCTTTTACGATGCATTGAATACTTTATGTAAGCTTAATCGCCTTCCTGTCAGACCTGGATATACCGTTAATAATGTGGACAGATTGATATTAAGAAATGTTGTACCGGATGGGGTTTGGGTGGGGGGGGGTATACTTCTTCTCCGTTGTGTCTGCCTGCTTCCGCTTCTTCAGATTCGCTGCAGCCTCCTTCCCGCCAGCAGGCTTAGACATCTTCACGCTCGCAATCCTGCTGGCAGCTCTAGAGTTCCTCCGAATATCTCTAACATTCGCTCGGTCAGGGAGTATCACTCGAACTTGGCGGGTCACAGACTATCACCCGCACTCCACCGCTAGTTTGGTGCAACTCCTAGATAGTGGATGAGGGAACGGGGTGCGGAGCTAGAGCTGTACATTCCGGGCGGCGATTTAGTTCTAGGGCTGTGTAAAGCGCATGAACGTTGTGTTTGAACTGATATTATGAACATTTGTGGAAAGGTATAGAGTAGTAGAAT